TGTCACGAACTCTACAATAAAACATTGTTGACAGCATTTTTCGCATGATGAAAATGCTTTGGAAAGATGCTTCCTCCTACATTTATATATCAAATTTTTAGAATGTGGAAATAATTATCTTTATATTTTTAATTTCATGATTTAATAATATTTTTCTAAATCGTAGCGTTATTTATAAAATTTCTTCTTCGACTAAAAAGGTAAAGAAAAAAAGAAAAAAAGAAACGAAAAGAAGAAAAATTAGAATAATCAGATCAGATTAAAATCAGAGTATAACATTATAAAAAGTTTGAAGTATAATATATTTATAAAACCAACGGATAGAAGTTCGAATTTTACAAATTATAAATTTCATATACACTTTCATAGTATGAAAGCGTCTCATTAAATACAAAATTATTAAATTGCAAGTGTCTAACATATTCTGCATTCATTATTGAATTTATATATTCGTTTTATACAAAATTTCCACGCAAGTATTTTGATGATTTTGATTTTAAACATTCGTTTGATTTATACATTGATTTTAAATATTTGACATTTCAATTCAAAATTTCTAATGCTCAAAAGTAAAAAAAAAAAAATTGCAAAACTTATAAAATAATAAAATTAAAAAGATAATAATATCAAATGAATCATGCTCGTAATACTCAAATTGAAAAATTGATAAAACAAAAATAAAACAAAACAAAGAAAGAACAAGTATTGATGAAACAATTAAATTCCAAATATAATAAAATTTTGTAAGATATATAGAATGTTTAATGTTTATCCCATCAATTATAAAAAATTCAATTATAAATAGTCGAAACAAACTATATTGCTTATTTAATTCGATTTTTCTTTAATTAATGCAAAAGTCAGTCGGCGTTTCGCACTATATACGTTAAATTCTAATTCTAATTCTCCTAGTTTACACAAACGATTCGAAATGTCGTTATTTTCAACTATAAAATTACAGTAAATACGAAGATAATATCTCGACTGAAAACTCAGATGAAATATTAATATAAGAGATTTATGATCTTTGTATAATGATATTGGCTTAAAATAACTTGGTTCCAGGTGTGCTACTACGCGACATTATGTTATGTGGTCGGACTGTGAATCGTTGTTACCACTAGCTTAGAAACACATGGCCGAGAGAAACGTAACCTCTACCACTTGTTGGTTCTTTAAATATACAGGTGTCTCTCGACCAATGGAAATTATCATTTGTTTATGAATAATCCATTTTCGACCACTCATTCTATATGAACGAAGTGTACACTAGTGTGATTATTTATTAAATGTTACGAGCATTTTTTTTTTAAATTTAAATGTTTAAATTGCTTTCTTATGAATTTAACAAGGAAAGATATTTTTCTTTGAATTACTTAAAAAACAAACTCGCATTTAAATATACTCATCTACTTTTATAGATGAACTTGAATATAATAATAAAAAAATCCATAATTGTATCGAATAACATAAAATATAATTTATTTTTTAATGATATAATTTTGTAGTCATGATATATAATTTTATTTTTAAAATTAATTATTAATAAAGTGGTATTGTGGAAAACTATAGCATTATTTTTTTGACGTGGCAACATTATTTTTGAAGATTATTAATTTTACAACGATACATTTAGTATACTTGGTGTAAAGTAAAAAAATTATGTTTTCTAATTGGAACAAAGACAAAGATTTTCATCGTCTACAAAAATTAATAAAAAAATATTTAGTGACTATTCTCGATAAAAAATTATAATTGTGGTAGCCATAGACGGTTTAAGGTGCATTAATACAGAGTTTCTTGGATTAAGGTAAATTAAAGGTTGACAACAATGAATTGCGATTCATTATTGTTAACAATGATAAATATCATTTGCAGATAAATTTAATAATATAACTTTCTTTAATCTGGTTACTTGTTGAGCTTGATTAGTTATTATTTATATTTTATTGTGAAATTTTTGCACGTATTTCTGAATGATTTATAATATGTTAAATTAAAACTTATTTTATTTCAATAAATTTTGAAAAGGAAAACAATGAAGAGAAATTTTCTTTTCTTCTCGAATTTTAAATTAATTTTTAAATGCTTAATTATTTTCTTTTAGATTTATATATATATAAATTTTTTTAAATTTTAATTTTTTAGAAGAATTATATTTATTTCATTATATTAATAAGAATTTTTAGATCATCTTTTATCTTTTTTTCCCATTATTTTTTCCAGGATTTAGAATTCAAAATTTGATTTTAGAATTATTCAGAAATTTTCGAAATTTTTGTTTTTTCTAATCATCAAAAAATATATTGTGTCTTTAATTCTGAGAAAAAGAAAATAATATTCTCGAAACAAAATTAAATTACATAGAAGAACTGCAACAGATGTGTCAGTTGAAAGTTACAATTAGTTAAGTGGACATTGTTATACTTCTAGAAATTTTAAAATTTAAATTTAAAAAAAAAAAGATAATTTTGTAAAAACTTTACCTTTATGAATTATTTTAAATTTTATAAATGATTTTTTAATTGATATATTTATATATATGTTCTATACAATATAAATTTTTCGAGAACTTTTTGATTGTTTTATTTTTTATTTATTTGTTACATTTTATCTTTTTTTTTTACATATTAATAATTACTTTCCACTCTTTGTATTATATATAGTTATGCATGTTATATAGTATTAAAATACTATAAATTTCTATTTCTCACTTCAAATCTCGACTAATATGTACAACGATTTAATTCAGTATTGGGGGTTTAATACGTCCCATAGTTTCATCAAGGATGACACGCGTCATAGAGATTTTCCTTTATTACGCTCTGTTTAAGAGCGACGATAGGCCTACTCTGTCCGCGTAATTAAATTTCATCCTGTTCATATTGTTACAGTTGAATTCATATACCGTATTTCAATTCCTGAAATACGTTTAAATAAAGTTTAACATGAGATTTGCGTACAAAAATTTTCTTGTTAGTTCTAAAAAATAGTCTAAAAAATAATCTCTTTTAAAAGTATTTATTGTTAATATTATTAATTATATATAATTATTTTTTATTTTAAATCGATTCTCATTTATTTTCATTTATTTTCACTTATTTTCATTTCAATTTATTTGATTATAATAAGACTATTATAAAAGATTGAAATGAATATTATAAAAATTATAGAATGTAATTAATTGTTGAGATAAAAAGAAAAAAAAGGAAGGGATAGGACGTTTTATTTTGGTCTTGCTAGAGAAACTCGTCAATAAAGCTATCTAAGAGACATGAGTTTTAGACATCAAGATCTTGGAGATTATGTCAAAAAGTATACTTGTAAAAAATATGATCCATATGAACTTTTCTAGTGAATATAGGAGAAATGTGGCAATATTGTATATAATAAACAGTATTGTAAATAGAAGATTGAAATTTTAAGATGAACAGAATATTAAAAAACATATCTTTTTACTAAAAATTCTCATTATAGATCTCAACTTCCTCTTCAAATCAAACAATATATTTGTAGTATTGAAATCATTTTGTCTTATTTTACATTCTTGATTTTTTATCAAAAGATTTTTTTAAAAAATATTTGATTCCACTTTTATATCAATGTTTGTACGTTCAATGTGGTTTCATAGTATTTATAATATTATACTGAAAAATACAAAAAACAATTTATATTTATTCAATGTGTAGAGTTAAAATAAATACTCGTTTATTTACACTTTTCATAAGCTTTACTTTTTTTAAACTAAAAATTTATTTTATTATTTATATTTGATTATTTGGAAAAAATATAACATATTTGAAAAACATTAATACACATATGACATCAATTAATTTCTGAAACAATATCATTTTAGGTTATAATTGAGTATTCGTAATATCATAATTCTATCAAAAAATCATAATAAAGAAATATTCGAATATATTTCATAATAATATTTGAAAATATTTTAATTTTAATTACTTATTTTTTATAAAATAAGTAATTAAAAGTCAAGTTAAAATAAAAATTCTGAAAAACTATGTACCAAATTTTTACTTTTACAATTATATATTAATATGTTAGTTATGATAATTTATTAAACTGTAATTTGTAATATTTGCTAAATGTTAACAAATATTAACTTTCAAAACGACTATCTAATTCGATAATGTCTTTACTTTAAAACTTTACACATTTTCGTAGGCGCTTCCTACACGTAAAAACCACTTTCATAGAGCTATACTAGATACTATACTATACTCGTAAAACTTCAATCCAATAAAATTGCAATTTCCATCTAATAGGAGCATTATTACCTTAGTACTAATCAAATTTTTCCAAGCTCGTTTATATATGTTAATTGAAATTTAAAGATTTATTTAAAAAAATAATTAATTATATATAATTACCACGTGGATTGCATACGTGAAAAGTTACTAAAAATCAGTTCTGAAAGGAAAGTATTAATTTAATTGATAATCTATTCAATCATTTAAAATATTCTATGATATTTAAAATTTCATATATACAATATATTTTTATAATTAATTTAGTTACAAAAATTTTAATATTGAAAAATTATATTCATTTATTATTTCTTTTTGTAATTATGAAATGTTATCGATAACGTAAAGAAACATATTGAAAGATTGTCTAAGTTAGTGAAGTTAATTACTCGTATAAGTTAAAATTCATTAACTTATATATTAAATTGACAAAGCAGATATATATCAGGATAGTAATTTCATGTATGATTTTTAGAAGGAAGGAAGAAGAAAAAATTATATCTTACAGCTTATATTTTTGCATAAAAATGAATAATATCTTTTTTTTCTATCTTTTTTTATATTTTGTTTAAATAACTAATGTTAGAATTTTTTATGAACACGATCCCATTCGATAAATTCGAAAAAACACGAAAATTCGTAATTTCTATACGATTTATATTTCTTCAATCCCAAATATTGATCGATCGATCGATCGATCGACTCGATCTAACTCTAAAATTCACCAAATCGAACGGAACATTGCATGGAATCGCGAAATATATCTCGATTCTCACTCGGGATTGGTTTAACACACGATCCCACGTAAATTCGAAAACGCGAATCCGTAATTTCAAAGGATATACACACACGATCGCAGTGGATGATTCGGTACGAAAGAACATCCCAATCCGCCAACGCAGGTGCGCGCTCAGAAGGCGCGCGGTGAGTTAACCCCACCACCATACACCACCATACTCGGCCGTGTTGCAGATACGTCTATAAAAGCCTTCATCGTGCCCGCTCGCTTCGAGTTAAGTCGGCAAACCCTTCGATCGGGATCCTACAACGGGTCGAATCGTGTCCGTCACTCTACGATTTTGGTGAACTTGTGCGAGCGGATCGGTTTCCCTGAAACTACGATTCCTGCCTGAAAAGGACGTCTTTTCTGTTTTTTCAATCTCGAAGGTGAACAAACTAATTGGGAATATGAATTTACAAAGTTGCAGAATTGGTATACTGGTTTTAATTTTATTTTTGAACGGAGAATTTTTCGAAAAAAGTGTTCCATAGTTGAAAATTTTGTTTTTTCCAGTCTGATTTTATCTTTAATTTTTTTTTTCTTTTTTTTTTTTTTTTATCGTTTTTTTGTTTTATTTTTTTTTTGAACGGAGAATTTTTCGAAAAAAGGGTTCCATAGTTGAAAATTTTGTTTTTTCCAGTCTGATTTTATCTTTAATTTTTTTTTTCTTTTTTTTTTTTTATTCGTTCGTGTTTTTGAAGGAAGCAGCTTATTTTTGAAAGTGATATAGGGAGAAATTAATGAAAAAGTGATGAAGAGAGAATTTCGAAGATATGGAGAAAGTGTGCATGAAATTTATTTAGATTTAAGTTATACAGAATATTTTGAATTCCTTTTAAAATATTTTTTTTAATACTAAAATTCTATAAGATATTTTAGACTTTGTTGTTCCATTATTATTTATAAATTTGAGATCTGAGATTCTTATGAGATTCTCTTTTTGATCACTTTTACGATTTTCATAGAAAAAGATAAAGAAGGAAGAAAAAAAGAGATTTAACAAGTATACAATTTTTTTTATTAAAATTATATTAACAATTAATTAATTCTTTAAATACAGTTCTTTGTTTCTTTTATATATATATATATTATATATATCAAAATTGTAATACAAATTTTCTATTGAAATTTCTAAATATTTTCATGTAAATATTATCTATAAAATTTTTAATTTTTAAAAAATAGTTTGTTCATTTTTTCTACTTCGAAATAAAGTTATATTAGTATTAATTAGGTAATTTTCTAAGTTAAACATCATCAACAGTTTAAAAGAATTTAAAATGTCGAATAAAAAAGATTTTACTTGAAAAACAGAATATTTCAAAATTAATTTTGATGTAAAATTTTTAGTTTAGTTTAGTTACAAATATTTCTTAATAGATTAATTTTCCATAAAACAAAGAAAAAAATTTGTTAGAAAATGATATTAAATTCATATTTAATATATTTAAAATATTTTATTTATAAAATTGCATTTGTGTGAAAAACATTATCAAGTTTTATAATAATATAAAAATATTTTTGTAAATTCAATTTAAAAACTGTTTTGATTCAACACATCTTCTATATCCAATATTTAAAATGTTAAATTAGTTTTTTCAATTTTCAAAATTGCTCTTAATTTAAACCTAATTCAATCATTCTTGCTTCTTCGTTCTTTCTTCCAAAAAAAAAAAAAAAAGAAAGAGAAATTAAACTACTAAAAGAATTTAAATTGCAAAAAAGAATATACTTGTATAAAAATGCGAAAAAGATTTTCAATCAATTTATTTTTACAGAATGAACATTTTATCAATTCATGTAATAAGTTATATGTAACATTTTTTCATCCCAAATAATTTTTTATCATTTATTATATAGTTTCAGGATCATTTGGCAATCTTTCTCTTTTTAAATTATTTTTACGTAGATTTCCATATCACATCCAATTTTTTCCTTTTAAAGAAAATTCATAAAAAATGAAATAAACGATAATCGATATAAGCAATAAATAAATAAGATGGAACATCCCAGCTATGATAAATCTATTAACACTTTTTTCGACATTTCTCTCTGATATTTCTTGCTGCGTTTAATGTCCAATTAAGATGAATATTTATCAAAATTTAACATTTTATTACATGGAAGCTAATAGATACTCCTTCATTCCAATTAAATATACAAGCAAGATTGGATTGAAACTTGTAAAATATAAATATCTATATTGTCTACGCTATTTTTTAAAAATAAAATTAAATATCTTAGATTTATTTAATTCGAAAATAGATATTTTTATTGTAATTTGTATATCTTCAAATTTATTTCTCCTCTTGTTGATTTATAAAAATTATATATTGATAATTTGATAATTAACATGTTTAAGATAGGATATATGTGTGACTATAATATTCAAAGTATCATGTTATTTAATTAAAAAATTTTATTATTCGAAATTTATAAAAATTGTCGATTTTGGAATTCAACAATTCTTCAAATTTTTTTCTTATATAATTCTTCATTTTCATTTAAATTCTTCTTAAAACAATTTATTACGTATGAAATAAATATAAAGAATATTCTAAATCATTTAAACGTGTTAATATTATTTTAACTTTGCATTAATTGCTCTTTTGTCAAGTATGAAATTCAGTAAGAAAGTTGCACAAATATTATTGCGTATGATTGTTCATAATCAGTGGAGATTTTAATATTTATAAAACTATATTATTCAAATTCAAACTTTAAAAAAAAGGAAATTCCATATGCATCAATAAAATATAGATAATTTGCATATAGTTATAAGAATACCTGTGAATACTCTTAGAATCAGTTTCACATATTAACTTTATGGAAGGAAGCTTTAGTGCTGTAGCAATTTCATATTGTTATTGTATTGAAACTTAAATTTATGTAAGGGAACAATGAAATAACGTATAAAGCTATTCAATATACCGTTTCTGAATTATTATTGCACTAACTGAATAATTCTACTTAACATATTTCAATATGTTCTTCTAAGCATAACACAAAGTTGATAATATTAGTTATAAATAGTGAAGATAAAGAGATAATATATTTTAAATCTTATCCAATCTTGAATTTATTTTATCAATCTGTTATTTTTATTATTCTTTATGTTTAAATAAAATCGTTATGAATATTAGAAATTTTATTAGATTCTTTCTTTTTACTTTCAATTCGAATCTTCTCTTTTACTTTATTAATATGGCTAATAAATATTAATAACATAAAAAACAAAAAATATTGTATATTTTATTTGATTTTTATCATTTTTTAATTCAACAATGGAACGTATAAAATTTTTGAAAATTGATTAAAAATTTCTATTATTTTTTAATTTATATAAATACATATTTAGAGAAAAACAATGAAAATTAATCAGAAAATACTTGCACGCCAAATATGTATTATCGCAAAAAGGAAGAAGAGAGAGCTAAATATTTTTATTTTTTCTAAATTCTTTCGTGTCATTATTATTTTTCACTAAATGAAAATATTTAATTCCACGCGAAAAAAAAATATATATATGTATCGTATCCATTAATCACGTTTATTTTTTCGAATAATTTTTTTAAAAATTGTCGAAATTATACGAATTCCTTTAAAAAAAAATGTTATATCTCTATGCTATTATACGCAACGTATAATCGATGAGCATGATTTAATTTAATATTCTGGGAAAGATAATACAATTCTAAAATAAAAAATTGAAAATTTTGTTATAAATTACTATTTTATTTATATATATATTGTAGAAATAATTCCCTTTTCTTTTCGTGCAAAATTTGATTAATATTCAATATTACAATTTATCAAGATATTTCAATCTTTCACTGAATGTTAAATTGATAAAAGATTTAATTTTTAAGATTTAATTTTTTCTTTATTGTTATTTTATGTAGAACACCAATAATCACATGGCGATCACTTCGGTCAACTCACAATCGGTGACGGTTCTTATACGCGCTTGGATTTTCATGATAATCTTTTGTTTCGCGGGTGGTGTAGCAGGTATGTATGTATATGTTTTTTTTTTTTTTAATTATACAAATAATATTTGTTCAAAAGTAAAAAGAATTCGAACGAACATTTAAATAATATATATATATTTTTTTAAAACTTAACACGAATTCTACATCTCAAAAATAATTAAAATTACACTAAAGATTAATAACGAACTTGATTTTATTGAATACGTTTTGATATTAAATAATTTAAAATTCAATTAATTACAAAATTAATATTTAAACATTTGAAAAGAAAAGAAATTTAGCAAAATGAGGAATTTAATCGTAAGGAATTTGTTTATTCACTAGGGACCCTAAAGATTAAACTTCCTAACCTCACTTTCTGCAAATCTAGCAACATTTGTGCTTGAGGGCACATATGTAGACCAAAATGAAATCTCGCATTAAATGAGCATAAAGAACCTTTGACTACAGTCAAATATCTCATCATTAAAGTTTAATATAAATTTATTCATCAAGAAATAATTATCTAAATATATATGAAGAAATCCCTCGAGCTATTAATTTACATATCTTGGTTATTCATGGTCTCAATTTTCAGAAATTATATCTCATAGGGATAATTATACTTATTCGTAATACAATTTTAGTTTTATTAAACGAACAAATTATAAATTCTATTATGCTAAATTTTATTGAAGAATTATGTATCGATAACGAGAATAATTCGTTATTTCCGTTTCCGTTTCCGTTCCATGAAAGAAAAATACATAGATATTTTTAAACTTCCATTGAATTTAATTCATCGAAAATTTAGAAAATTTATATGTAAAAGATCAGAGAAACAATATTTTCATTATACTTTCGATAATTTTGAAAGTATTATTAAATTTTATTTTATATATTTGTTTCATTGATTTTCTAATTAATTGCCAGATAAATAATGGATATAATTTAAAAATATTACTGCAAAAATCAATAAAATTTATATTAGTAATAGTAATTAAACGTTATCTTTCATTAACCAAGTAAACTTTTTGTAAATTTTTCATATTGTTAAATTTTATTTACATATATCTATATTAAAATCTGATATTTATGGAACAAAAAGGAATGGAACAATTAATTCAATTTCAAATTCAATCGTTCCGATGTAAAATATATATAATTTTGTGAAAATAGTACAATTTTAATTGCAAATCGTATCTGTATCTACTCTGAATTAATGCCACGGTTATAATAAACAATGTAAGAGATATTGCAATAATACGAGGGAAAAAAGTGAGGCATGAGAGAAATATTTAAAAAGATTGGTCAATTCATCAGCCACGCATACGAATATTATATTTAAATGAGGAGGGGAAAAAAGTTGCACGTTTCTTGAAAAAATAATAACCATCTTCCTTCTTTTTATTTTTATCACTTCTCTTTCCATCATGTTTCCGATATATCTTCGATTAATAATATTTCCAAACAAATTTCTTTATTTAATTCAATATTATTACTGTTTATATTACTTATTAAATTTAATAATTTTTGAGATTATGGATTATTCAGAATCTCGACGTTGAGTTTGAAATTATTCGTTGTTCCATTGTTTTTTCATATTATATATATTTTGCCTGAGTTTTAAAATTGCAAATTATGGAAATGTTCGTTAAGAAATAATATTAATAATTTATACAACTGTAATTTTTGTAGAATAAATTAGAGAATATATTATTTATATTTTTGAATCGAGATATATTAATTAGGAATATATATTATAATATTAGATTAAAATTTTTATAAAATGGGAAATCGATTTATATAAAATTATAAAATATTACTATTCAAGAATTGGTATCCAAAATTTTCGACATCATTCAATTTCTTTAATTTCTTTTAATTTTTTAATTAATAGCTTTCAATACTTTTTATGATAAAATTCTACACTTGAATTGTAAATTGATTGCAAATATGTCAAACAATAATTAGTGATCCAGTTTTTTATAACAATTTTTATAACAAGATAAAATTTAAATTGTCCCAAGTAAAATGATATTTTTACTTTTTAGACTTATCTGATTTATTTGGCCGTTTTCTATTGATTTTTCTATTTCTCATTTTTTAATAATTATATTTACTTATATTTTCTTATATTTCTTCTCTTGAATCCTTTTTAGTTTTTCAAAGAGATGTAGACAAATAAAATTTTAAATAAAAGAGAATAAGATATAGAAAAATATATTTTTAACTTAATCATTTTAACATGATTATTAAATCGAATAAAGCAATATGAAAATTTTAATCTTGTGTAATAATATATGGAATTTTATATAGTTAGCGATAATATGAAATACAAATTTATATTTTTAATAATCGAATATTGAAATATTTCAACAAGTATAAACTTATAACTCGGACAGTTCGTTACTATAAAACAACTCGATAAAACTCATTTAACTTTCACCTTCCAATAATTTAATTCATTATATTGAAATTATTATATGGATTATCATTTGTTCTTTCAAAATCATATCCATTTTGTTTCGTATATTATATCTATTTAATACATATCCATATTTATAATGATAATAAATTAAATTAGGTTAGGTTTCATTTTTTAATCTTTCTAATTGAAATTCTAAGAATTTTTTATTTTTACTTAACAGTTAAAAAAATCATTTCAAAAATTAAATAAAATCCATTTTCAAATATTATCGTCATTATCTTTGATCGACATCCTCATATCAACACTCCAATTTTTGTTTCTGGTAATTTTTTAGTAACTTTCTAGTGTAACATAATTTCATACTTGAATTCAAAATTCTCAATATCATTCTGTTTCTATATCTTAATATAATTCTGAAATATGAATTTCTCATTCGAGTAAATGAAAAAATTTTTTAATTGGATGATAAAAATAATTTAGGTTTTATTTTAAAATAAAAAGATACCCGGATACTTATTGACGTAAGGGTGAAAAGGTGGACCTATTTTAAAAATTTTCCATGAACCAATTCTAAAAATATGTTTACAATATATCCGCATAATTATCACATCATTTTTCATAATATGTCTACACATAATTTATTACACATTAAATAACATAAATAAATTGATTCATTTCGTTTTCCTAAATATCTCTTTTTTCAAAGATTAAAAATTATAAGTAACGATAATATTGTGTGGGCAAATATTTCTAAGTTCCTCAATATTATTAAATCATGAATGAAAGTTCCAGTCGAGATAAATAGAGATCGTTATTATATGAAACGAAACCCAGAGTTAACAGAAAGGGTTGCTTAAGAAGGTGTAACGTGAACAATAATAACAAAGTTGGTGTAACTTCGATAATGGGATCATCTGTGGTCTAGCGATCCCTGCTTCCATCCATGGGCCGCGTTAAATTTTAATTACACATTGAGAATCTCTGCGCATTTACAAGTTATAAGATTAGCAACTTCACACGTTCCAACAGTTTTGTGGTGGTAACCTGTTGCAGCTAATCCTCCAGTCGGCATCCTCTCTCCTCCTTCGTGTGTTCGTTGATCGATATTCGAATGGACGGGCAACCCGATTCCTTTATGGAAAAAGAAATGAGTTAAATTGTTGAAAATAATGAGAATTTTATACATGGAAATTATTATCTTTTGTGAATTGGATTTAGAAATTGAATGTTCTTTTCGTGAAAAATTTTAAAAGATCCATTATTGGAATAAATTTTTTTTTTCTTTTTTATTATAGTTGCAGTTGTTATATTTTTTTAATTATATATAATATATATAATGTATATTTTAATTTTATATATTTGTAAATTTAGTTCTTTTTAAATTAATATAAATCATTTCAAGACATTTTGAGATTTATTTTAATAACGATTTTTTTTTTAAATCTGTCTTAATTATTATTTTATGATACGATATAATTTTATTATTTAAAAGTCTTGTTGCATATCAACAAATTGCGGTATAAATTTAAATGAACATATGCATATGAGATTTGTGTATCTATATGTATATTAAAATCATGGAAGTACTGTCATTCTCTTCATGAAAGAAATAATATTTCATAAAATTTAAAAAGAAATAGATATAATTGTCATATATATTATCATATATATTATTTCTTTTTGTTAATAAAAAGTTATTGATCTAAATTTTTACAAATTTTGACTTTTTTATGATCTAATTATAAGAATTTTTATTGTCCTATATTCAACATAATGAAGAATAGATAAAAAATAAGATTACAAATTTCAGAAAGAAATAAAAATGTTTAAGAAAAAAATACAAGTAAAAATATCCATTTCCATATCTATCCATCGACTCAGCTGACAAAAGTAACAATTGATTTTGCTGTTCACGACATTCTTTCCTTTTTTTGTTACTTTTCTCACTTGAGAAAAACATGTGCAACACAACATGATATATTCTTTTTATTTTCTTTAGTATATCTTAGTATGAAGATATTAGAATATACAGAATGAATTACATAATATGTGTGTCAATTAGAAACAAAAAATTTAAAATGTATAATTATTTCTTGATGGAAGAAGAAAGAAACTTACTTGTCTTTAATTTTCCAAATTTTCGAGTAAAAGAAAAGAAAGATATTCTGTAAAATTAATTTTATTTCTTTCTTAAATGTTTTATTTTTATTTTTAAAAATATTCTTTTACTTCCAAATGATACTCACAACATAACAAATTGAAAAATGATAATTTTCTTAAAACTTCTTTAACTTATTCCAAATCTAATTTAAATAATTCTTCGTCCAAAATTATTTATCTATTATCATTATTATCTTGTTTGTTTTAAAAAAAAATTCATGATCTTTTTATAATTTATTCGTAATAATTTGCAACTTTGTTTGAATCATCATGCATAATTATAATTTCTACATTGATAATTCTTTGTAACAAATATTCATTCAAGTTCTATCCAAATTGCAAGTATATAGAACACGAAAGATTAATTTTTATAATATTACTACGAAGAAATTTGATTAACATTCTAAAATATAGATGTTTTTTTTTTTTTTTTTTTTTTATATATATTTCACTTTCAATAGAATTTCGAATGAAATCCGTGTAGCTTTTCATTTTCACGTATCAGCCTCTTAGACGTCTTGTTGAATTTTTAATTAACCCAATTTATCGCGTAGATAACCATACTCGAATTGTTTCATATATATCATAATGAGATAGATTCGCCCACCTTAGATTGTCATTCAGAAAGATGAAAATCATTTTTTCATTCGATATATATAATATATTCCTTCATTAATTGCTTGTTTAATTTATAATTGATTAATATATCTATAAATTTCATTAATAAAACATCGATATCGATTTTTACTTCATGTTCTTATTATTATTCTTTCTGTGAAAAATAGAAATATGCAACCAAAATAATATTTTTTGAAAATTAAATTAAATTAAAATTAAAAAAGAAAATGAAACAAAAGAATATTTTGTTAAATACTAAAATAATTTTTCCCCCTCCCCAAGTGAAGAATACAAGGTTAAAACTTTCCAGAGTTAACTTCTACAATTATTTTTTCATCAATGGACTCTGTGTCCATTGACAGTGAAAGTTACTATCGTTACTATAACAATCTTAACACACTATCCACTCTCGAGAATTATTCTTAAAGTATACTAAAACACAAAAAAAAAAAATA